CTATTTCTGGAAGATAATCATACTTGGCCATGAGTGAACGTCGATGATGACGAACTCTCTTGGCGTCAACTTTGAAAGAAGGGGCACCAGCATACTAGTCTAAAGGAGAGTGCTGATACAGATGGAATCCTGTTAAAGTCACATCCATCACAGGCTATTTGTGAGTTGTTGTAGGTTTTTTGGGCTGTATGACCATGTTCTAGAAGCATTCTCTCTTGAGGTTTTGCCTGCATCTATGGCAGGCATCCTCAGAGGTTGTGAGGTCTGTTGGAAACTAGGAAGCTTGAGTTTATATATCTCTGGAAAGTCCAGGGTTTATATATCTGTGGAAACAGATGCATAAACCCAATTTTCCTAGTTTCCAACAGACCTCACAACCTCTGGGGATGCCTGCCATAGATGCAGGAGAAACGTCAGGAGAGAATGCTTCTAGAACATAGTCATACAGCCCGAGAAACCTACAACAACCCAGTGATTCCGGCCATGAAAGCCTTCAACAATACAAGCTATTTGGCTAGAGAGGGATGCTTAATTCACTTTTACAGAATTAAGGGTGCAGGACTCCCACAAAAGTGGGAAAAGTGTGAATAAAAAACTTCAGAGATCATCTCTCTAGGAATTTCTACATCCTCCAGTATTTAGGAATCTAGGAATCTCTACGTCCTCTGGCAGTCTTTAGGAGGAGCTTGAAGACGTGGCTGTTCCAGTGTGCCTTCCGAGAATAATGATCCCATAGCACTTTGTCATCCATTACATTTTAGGTCTGCTTGTATGTTTTCCACAAATGCCCCATCACTTTTTCGCTCATGTTCCAGCATTACTTCCAATTTTAATTTTACATTTGGCCTTCCCATAGTTTTTAATCATGTGGTCTTATTGTTAATGTTGGATTATTGTATTGTCCATGTTTATTTTAATTGCTTGTATTGTTGTTATTATTGCTTGTATTGTTGTATTTGGGCTCGGCCTCATGTAAGCCACACTGAGTCCCTTAGGGAGATGGTAGCGGGGTACAAATAAAGTGTTGTTGTTGTTGTTGTTGTTGTTGTTGTTATTATTATTATTATTATTATTATTATTATTATTATTATATGACTGTATGTATGGTCAACTTCTAAAGATACCATATTAATTCAATCTGCAAAATTAAACCTGCTAACATGGAAGGCCAACTGTAGTTTCATTATGATATTCTAAAGTTAATTTCTTGATAGTTGCCAAATATATTAGAAGTAAAAGGAACAGTCCCAAGTAAGAATTTCCTTCATCCATCTAAATGTCTAGCAATGAAATACTTTAAAACTTCAGCTGAGTATTGAGACATACAGTTTAGACATTCAAAGAAACAGGTCAGGCAAAGTTATTAAGGGAATGGGAACTGTACAAGAGCTCTAGAAGTGAAGGATTTTCAATGTCTCACTGCTAGAAAGGTGTCAAGTGACATCTGCCCTGCTAGTTATTGGGGTGTTGCAGGAAGAAGTTTCCAGACCTCCTTCACCAGTGAACTGAGGTGCAAGGACTCCTCTTTGCAACTCAGCGACAGGGGTCCCGCTCCTGATTTTACACTGCAACATGTTGGCAGGCGGGGCAGGAAACACCCTCCTGCTGTGCCCTGATTTCCAATAGAATAGTCCTCTATCACTTGGTGTGGTATTGCAATGTTTTTTGGAGCTCGCAGGTAGTTTTAGGATCAATAAATGCCTTTGTCTGGAAAGTAAACCAGGCTTCACCTGGGCTTAAAACAAATACAACAATATAAAAAGGTAAAGGTAGTCCCCTGACATTAAGTCCAGTCATGTCTGACTCTGGGGTGTGGTGCTCATCTCCATTTCTAAGCCGAATAGCCAGCGTTGTCCGTAGACACCTCCAAGGTCATGTGGCCGGCATGACTGCATGGAGCGCTGTTATACAACAATATAGCCTCTGCCAATCCGTGGGCATGAGAACATTTTAATTAAACTATCGCAATTTAGAGGGCCTCGGGTTTGGGGGTGGATTATTTATTGTGTTTTATATCCCGCCCTTCTCACCCCATCTTTTTCCTGTCTTTTTAGCTATCGAGTGGTATCCACTGGGGTTTTGTTCCAGGATCCTCTGTGAATACCTAGATCGGTGGTATATACAATGGCATAGTAAAATTGTGTACCTTATATATGATGGCAATACAGTATAGTCTCACTTATCTAACCTTCCCTCATCCAACGTTTTGTATTATCAAATGCAGTCTGCCTCCCGCTCGGATTCACAGCTGTTTCAATACAATGCGATGTTTTGGTGCTAAATTCGTAAATACAGTAATTACTATATAACGTTATCTTGTATTGGAACTGTTTCTTCTGTCAATTTGTAGTAAGACATGATTTTTGATGCTTAATTTGTGAAATCATAACGTAATTTGAGATTTAACAGGCTTTTCCTTAATCCCCCCTTATAATCCAACATTTTCACTTATCCAACATTCTGCCGGCCTGTTTATGTTGAATATGCAAGACTCTACTGTATTTCCTTTTTTAAAAAAGCAGAATATTTTTAAGTTGTGGATACAGAATTTGTGGATGGGGAGGGCCAATTGTACATTGCCAGATTTATCCCTTTTTTGTCTGACTACTGATTGCTATTTTATGTATTTAAATCAATAAAAATAAAATGTATTCCTTAAGAGTTCTTAGAAGTAATGTGGAGAATGTTTTACGTGTTGGGCTAAGATACTAAGAGATTAGGGTTCTAATCCTCACTTAACTATGGAAACCCTTGAGCAAGTCATGTTCTCAGGCTCAGAGGAAGTCAATGGCACATCTTTGAATAAATCTTCCCCAAAACACCCTATGATAGACTTGTTGTAAGCTGGAGTTGACTTGAAGGCACATAACAATAACAACAACACAACAAAAACTCTTGCTTCCAATACAAAAACAAGCCAAGAAGCACTTTGTTTTTCATCAAAATTTCCATGGTTTGCACAAAAAGTATATATATATATATGCAACTTCTTCACTTTTTTGTGAAGAAAAGTGGCACAACATTCAGTAAGCATGAAGAGACTGACTGAATAATCAAGAAGAAGCAAGCAAACCATTCAAAACTAATTTTCCAAGGTCCTTGCAACAAGATTGCAGCTGTTGCAATTTAACTATGCAGCTCATGCAGTTCAGCAATTAGCACAAAATTAATTGCACTAATGGAAAAACTCTTTTGAGACACTGACTGAGTTAACACCATACACATCCTTATGAAATCGAAGTGAGAGTGACATTACCAGTCACACAGTTTGCTTTTTTGAGCTCACTTTAGTGTTAGAGAACAGACATTTTATAAATAAATCTCAACAGGGCCTTGGCCATTCTATTAAGTAAAACAAAGGAGATGTTATTTAAATGTTGTTATATGGAAGTGTGTTAATACCAATATGCAATTATATGCACAAACTGACCTTCAAAAGAGCATGGTAATTGTATCTGCACAAACCACTTTCAAAAACTAAAAGTGATTAGATGCTGGAAAATGGAGATGACTAGTGTTTCATGACAGGAAGGATATGGGGATCTCCTATCTACTTGTGGCACCCACCCAAAACCTCACCCATGAGAACTGATAAAATAACGTGGGTTTTCCAAAGAATTGTGGGGTAAAAGGTTGATCTTTTAAATTTACATTTACCTTATATACTCAAGTATAAGCCAACCTGAATACAAGCCAAGGCACCTAATTTTACCACAAAAAATGGGAAAACTTATTGACTTGAGTATAAATCGAGGGTGGGAAATGCAGCAGATACTGGTAAATTTCAAAATAAAAATAGATACCAATAAAATTATATTAATTGAAGCATCAGTAGGTTAAATGTTTTTGAATATGTGTGTGTGTGTGCATTTCCCCTGCAATATTTGTAAACCCTATATATCTATATTCATATCTATCTAGACATGTCTCTATATATGTGTGTGCATTTCCCCCCTGTAATATTTGCAAGCCCTATATATCTATATTCATATATATCTATTTAGACACCTCTCTCTMTATATATAATTATATCTATATGGGATTTGCAAAGACCTGCAGACATTTGAGGGGAAATTCATATATAAAATTAATGTATATACATAGATAGATACAGATATATAGGCACATAGGGATTACAAAGGCTTGCAAGGAAAAATGTCTATATATCTGTAGGAGAGATTAATAAATCTTTTATAAGATTAATGTGTGTGTATGTACATTATATATATATATATATATATATATATATATATATATATATATAGAGAGAGAGAGAGAGAGAGAGAGAGAGATCTATAGGGCCTGCAAAGGCCAGTGAACACCTCCAAGGGAACAAAAAATGCACATATAAAGTTAATATATTTAGATACACAGAAATCAGGCTTGCAAAAGATCTCAGGGGAAATGCATATATAAGACGAATATGCATATAGATATATACAGATAACACAGGGCTTGCAATTATTTTTAGGGGGGGGGATCTATATATCATTTACAAACTCCCCCTCCTTTTCCTTTTCAAAACAGTGCCTTCTTCTCTCTTTTTTTTAAAAATAAGATTTTCCAAAATAGGCAACTCCAGCCTAGGAGGATAAGCAGAGTGAGGAAGAATTTGGAAAAGAAAACACACTTTTAAGGAAGTGGAAGTGGAGAGAGAAATATATCATGGCTGGAAAGAGGTGTAGAGGTGGGACGGCATTGGAGCCTTGACCCCATTATAAGCCGAGGGAGGCTTTTTCAGTCAAAAAATGTTGAAAAACCCAGGTTATATTTGAGTATGTATGGTAAGCAAAGGTTGGAAAAATGGGATTAGATTCAATTCTTAAGAACATTATATGTTATACCAGCACCAGATACAAGATGAACACACTGTTTTTGTCCATAGACAATCCCTAGGTTACAAACCTGTTAACTACAACGCAGGATGCAACCCCATATACAGGAACCACAGCACCATGTTTGAGTATTTTGTAATGAATAAAGCAAAATAAACAAAACACTTCCACTGGTGTCTTTTATTAAGTAATGCAAAATACAGTACTAGTTATGACACTCCATGCATTTGAGACAATATAAATGCAAGCCTAGAGAAAAATAAGTGACAAAGAAACCCTCAATTAATTTTGAGGTAGTGTACAGGATGGGGAAGTTGAAACACAATGGGACAGACAAACCAAAATATCCATATCATTTTGTGCATTTGTGTCCCCGCCCATGTAGTTTTTTCTTTGAAGTATATTTGTATTAAATACATTAGTGGGCCATTTCATTTCTACTTCCTTCAAAAATAGACTTTTTTTATATATAACTTCCCTATTCTTGGACATCTTGCACACAACCCACATTTTAAATGACTCTTTTAGGGATTTGAATGGTCCTCATGATAGGGATTCTTTTTCTCTCTTTCTTTGAAACTCTTTTCCTTCCAAGAGTTTAGGCACATGTGGCCTCATGCACAAAAAAATAAATAAGAAACCTACTTGAGGGGGACAAAATGTGTCACTCAAAGCGCTTGAGAGTACTAAGGACAGTCTAATAAATACTATTTTGTTTATAAAAATATCTCAGGTTATAAAAGTGGGCAAAGGGTTGGTATCCAAGATGGAAAAGTCATCGTGTGAAAAGTGCCATGTAATGTTTTTTTTGTTTTGTTTCATCAGATTTGGGTTTATAATATTTCTCCCCTTAAAACAGTACCATTGTGAATATGAATATATATTTTATAACCATTCTCTCCCCCCGCTAGAAGCCTACTGTATGCTAGAAGTAATCAAAGTCCTCACTGTTGCTTTGTCTCCTTATTGCAACTTTGGAAGATGTTTAATTGAGGAGGGTTCCGTACAATTGTGCTTTTGTGAGGCTGTCTTTCCGACTCAAGCCTGTGCTCCCAGTCCGCTGAAATTGTTGCTGTTTGCTACGAAGGCTTGAATGGCTTCCTTGTTCAATGGAAGACTGGTGGATCTCTGAAGCCTCCATAGAACTCTGGTTGAGGGACTCGGCTGAGCTGTTTGGACTTACATCCACATATTCTCTTTTCAACACCGGGCTACCATCAATACTTTTGCTACTGCACACCTGAACTGTGATTCTTTCATTCTTTTTGTCTCTTAGTTCTTTTGTTTTGTAGGAAGACAGTTTGTCTTGCTTACAGCTGGCGCTAATGTCAATATTCAGACCACTGTCTGTTGTCAGGAAGCAAGACTCTACGAGTCTGCTTTGACAGATATCGTCTCCCTCTGAGAAACTATCACCTTTGTAACTAGCATAAATAGGACTTGACCGGCTGTCCGCTTTCTTTATGGGACTTCTATAATACTGCTCCGAAAAGCTGCAGGGCGAAAGCCTGCCACTGTTTCTATAAGAATATGCACCAATATCCTCAACGCTCAGCTGCCTCCACCGTCCTGGGAGGTCCTCTTCTGACAGATGGGTATTCCTGCACTCGCTGCGCATTTTCTGCGAAGCTAAAGCTTGTTGGGCGGTTATGGCCGAGAAATGATAAGGCTCGCTTGCATAAGGTGACATAGTCCTAGTGAAGGTGGGGGAATTCTCCTCGTCAGCCAATTCCATGTGCTGAATGGATTTAGACTTGGCAAACCTTGGGCTCCCCTGGTGGTCATAACCTGGAGATGGCTTTCGTTCAAACATCTCATCTCGACTGCTCAGATAGATTGCTTGCTGGGAGGCTGTCAGCGTACTAGCTTGGGCATTCTCCTTCTCCTCAGATGTCACACTGAAGCTGGAGTAGGAGCTTGAAGTAGGGAGAGAGGTAACGTATTCTGGAAAAGCTTCATGGGAAAAGCTGGAGTGGAAGCCATCTTCTTCCACCGTGCTGTCAGTGGAATTCTGGGACCTCAAGAACCCAACGTCTTTCACTTGCATGTCGACACTCTGTCTCCTTTCCCTTCTTCTTTCATCTGGGCAGTAAAGAGCTGTGTCACTACAATAGATGTCAGACTTGTACTGGGGTCTTTGGCTAAGCTTCCCAGAAGAGTCCTGGAAGGCAAGATCTCTGGTTGATGAACCTGACAAGTGTGAAGAAAGACTATTTGGGTCAGGCTTTTCTAAGACTTTAGCAATGACGCAAGTTGGTATGTTGTCAGCAAATGATGTATGACACAGAGGTACTGAGAGGCTGCATCCGTGCTTTTCTAGGTGGATGCTGACACGTTCCTGAAATTCGGATGGCAACTGTAACAAACAGGAAGAGGAAGAAAAAAGATGGATGAGAGGATTGTCAAGCAGAACCTGAGACATACATTATGACCAGAGTTTGGAAAACTACTTTTTGGAACTATAATTGTAAGCTCCACCACCCAGAAAGGTCACTAATGATGTGAAAAAGAATAACCCCTGCAAAACCCAACTGCTGAATTCCTTTTGCTGAAAATATACATCCATTAGCTCATTATGATACCACTGGAGCTTGTAGTCATTACTCTAGCCTCCACTACAAACTTGCAAAATACCCTAAAGGCTGGTTTGGTGAAGGTTTTGAGGTTATGGAGGATGGTGGGAGAGGGACTTCTAGGGGAAACCTGGCTAGTCATAATATAATATCAAGTCATCACATTCAATGCATGATTAGATAATAATTGAGGTGGTTGAGGCTGAGTTCTAAAGTCATTCATGGCCCTTCCCCTAAGGGCCATTTCATACTACACAACGAGAATACTATGGTTAACATTCAAGTTAGTGATTTAAACTCATTTTGGGATTGGGTACAAAGGGACGGTCAGTTGCCTGTGCTCTCCATCCAAAAACTTCCCATCGCCCAGCATCCTGCTAATGTCTTACATCCATGCAAGTGCAGCTTATACACACAAATTTACCAGCTTATACACATGTCCCTTACTTGAATGGGAACAAAGGGCTGGTCCCATGTCCATGCGCTCCATTCAAAAACACCCCACTACTCAGCAAATGACAGACTTCAGGTGATGCCCTGCTCTTGTCACTTACCAGTGAGGAGGACAAAGGGGGAGGCAATTCAGATGATGAAGATCTGGTTGCTAGGGGTTCCTGGAGGAAGGAAAAGGCAGATGAATTCTATTTGAGATGGCACTCTCAATTCTTTCCTGCTACCCAGCTGAGCTGAGACCAGCTGCTTCTCCATGATTTGAATTGCCTCCACCATTTATCCCCTCCCCACAGTAAGCCAAAGAGGCAGAGGGTGCTCCTGAGGCTTTACAGATAGTGGGCAGTGAGAATGGGACAGTGTGTAGCCATGTAGCTATGTAGAAAGGTAGGGCCTTGGTCTATGATTCTGCATACAACCATACCAGTAAGCTGCCTTGAGTCCTAATCTTGGAAAACAGGAGGGGTATTAAATGGATGATAAATAAAAATGATGATGGCTATAGTGAGGATGATGGCAACATTCTATGGAATCCTTGGATTTGCATTTAGTTTTTCAGATAGCGTGGAGCACTTTGAATTCTGTCCAGAAATGGTCCAGTTGTCACACATTATTAAAGTGCATTAGATGTGTGTTCACTGGAAATGTCTTTCACTTCCTTTCATGGCAATCAGGTAACCAATAGCATAAGCTATGACTTCATGCAATATCCACAAAAATGGGATGACAGTCAAGCCTGCTTGTGTTTCCCCAGAGTTATGAAAAATTAATTTTTTAACCCCCAAAGTAGCTTTTCTAATACCATAGTGTTACATCTTAACACATCGTTCAAAAGAAATACCACCATAAGCTTAATGTCAGTTCACTTGGACTTCACCATTGTGCATACAAATATATCCTGTTTTTTTAAAAAAAATTAAGAAAAAGGAATGCGTTCCTTTCCAAAGCTGCTGTTGTATGTCAGCCTGTTCAGCCTGTAATTGTGTCTGTTATTCATGTGGATGTTCATGATGGAAATGGTGTTTATGTTGATGTTCATGATGGGAATGGGGATGGTATTCCAGATGATGGGTCTGGGCTTGAGTTAAGTTCAGAAGAGAGGTCTGAGCTGTCTCAATGCCACATTCCTGGGAGCGACCTTTCACTGCTTTTTTCGGAGCAACTGTCTGAAAATGAAGCTGAGATTGATTTGCCAGGTGCAGGATTTGATGAGGGAGAGGATAGTGAAACCTTGGACAGAAAGCAAAGTTTTAGTAAACAGAGGCAGAACTTTCAGAAGCTGAGGTGATTGGCTGCCTGTCTATAGCAAAAGAAAGATAACAAACCATTCTCTAGTAGGAAAGTCAAGAAGAATGCTTTCCTTTCAGTTTTGGGTTCTGGAAAAGGTTTATAATGATTCATGGGTGAGAGTTGCCTCAGTTGAGGCAATGTTGTTATTTTATCACAGTCTTGCTTCCAAGTGCTTTGAGTTTCATGTACCAAGTTTTTGCCAAGCCTATGGGATTTTCCTGCTGTTTTGTTTCATGCTTTCAAGTGCCTTGTTTCATGGATCTTGTTTTCCTTTAACACTTATGGACTATTTTGAAAACTGGAAATACACAGAAAGTCACTTTTGTTCAATTCCTGCTGTAGAAAAAGGTCATGTGGTTCTAAAATGGCCTAGGGGGTAAAACCATGACAAAATGCCATCACAAAGCCTTGTTTGTAAGCAATTTTGAAGGGATTTTCTTCCCATCACGGTCTACACCTGGCTTAAACCTTCCTACAAAAAGTTTGACAAAAACCACAGAAAGGTCCTGTCAGGAGACCTACTCTTGATGAAAAACCCTTTTTGTTTAGGAGACATGCACAATCTTCCAAGTCTTTTTTGTTGAACAGATGCCCCTGCTCTTGGACAGCCCACTTTTTGATGACCATTTTGAATTATGCTCAGAACTTGCATATTCAATGTATGGTTGCTCTTTCATCATGTTTATGCAATGCTTTTCTGACCACATCTTACTTGTTTCTCTCAATCGTCTTAGTGCCATCTTGTGTACAGTATTGATTAGAAGTCATTAATGGTGTATCTCTTGTCTTATACAGTATTTGTGCTTATAATAACTTTCCACCTCACTTCAAGATATTTAAGAATGAATTTTGGCATTAAATTCATGTGCTTGATGTCAAAGTGTTTTTGCAAGCTAAGAAACGACTGGGTTCCTTCTTTCAACCATTCCCATTTTTTGATCTAACCTGTTGAATTAATGGGAACTGCCTGTACCAAGAAACCTCATGAGGTGCAGTTCATTAGCCTATACATTGATAGATGTAAGGTTCATAGAAGGAACACTGAATATAGAAGAGGAACTAATAGTCCTTAACATACTTACATCAAAGCAAGTCATGTTCCTGTTTTGGCTGAGGAAATTTGGACAAAGCCTTGAAAACCCTCAGCAATACCGTGGTGCAGAGCTTTGCAAAGTCATATGTTGGGCTACAAATTATGGCTAAATGGAAAAAAGCCCCACATTGTGGTGACACTTTTATTACGCCAACCAAAAAAGCACAAACTACATTATGCAAGCTTTCAAAGTTTGCAAGCTTCTTTGCCAGACATGGGTAGTCATTTTAGGAGAAGAAATGGAGGGTCACAGAGCTGCATCTTTCTTGAGATGTTAAAGCTGAGTTGCTGAGAATTTTCTGTGCTGTATGGCCATGTTCCAGAAGCATTCTCTCCTGACATTTTGCCTACATCTATGGCAGGCATTCTCAAAGGTTGCGAGGTCTGTTGGAAACGAGGCAAGCGGGCTTATATATCAGTGGAATGTCCAGGGTGTCTGCTTGAGGCAGGTGTGAATGTTGCAAATGGCCACCTTGATTAACATTTAATGGCATTGCAGCTTCAAAGCCTGGCTGGTTGCTGCCTGGGGGAATCCTTTGTTGGGAAGTGTTAGCTGGCCCTGATTACTTTTGTCTGGAATTTTCCTGCTTTTTGGGTGTTGCTCTTTATTTACTGTCCTGATTTTAGATTTTTTTTTAAAAAAAACTACTAGGCAGATTTGTTCATTTTCATGTTTTCCTCCTTTCTGTTGAAATTGTCCACATGATTGTGGATTTCATTGGCTTCTCTGTGTAGCCTAATATGGTAGTTGTTAGAATGGTCCAGCATTTCTGTGTTCTCAAATAATATGCTGTGTCCAGGTTGGTTCATCAGATGCTCTGCTATGGCTGACTTCTCAGGTTGAATTAATCTGCAGAGCCTTTCATGTTCCTCGATTCGTGTTTGGGCATTGCTACATTTGGTGGTCTCTATGTAGACTTGTCCACAGCTGCATATTATATGGTAGATTCCTGCAGAGGTGGGAGGATCCCTCTTGCCCTTTGCTGAACGTAGCATTTGTTGGATTTTCTTAGTGGATCTGTAAATGGTTTGCATGTTGTGTTTCTTTGACAACACATGTTAAAGCTGAGTTTGAGATGGTGAAGGGTGGGGGTGTGATGCAGGGAGAGTTATGGCCTATACCTTGAAGGGATTGCCTTTGTTTTTAACAATGGAGAAAAAGGTTTGCAGACTTCCATTGTTTGTCTCCCAAGCACCTTGTAGCCAGCAAGGTGTGTGGTCTTTACCTGCATTTTGCACCTTTTGGTTGGTCTAATAAAGATATGATCACAATGTGTTCTTTTGGATTTCTCTGTATTTTGCGTTATGTTCGAAATGACTTCCCCTAGAAGTCTATATTTTGAGCTACAACTCCCTGAATCCTCCAGCCAGCATGGCCATATTAGCTGGGGTATTTGAACAGCTATAGTCCAAAAGAGATGAGTCTCCAAGTTCTGCTCAGATGATTTCATTGATATTGATTGAGAACAAGCGCACCATGTCTCTTTTCTTCTCAGGAATGTTCCTGGAAGTGTCCCTAATCCTATCCAAGTCGATTCACAAAGAAAGAGACACTGAGACTGAGATTCGATTGTCTTAGAGTCCCACACCGCAGGCTGTATCTGTTCAGGGATGAAGAGAAGTACTCATTGAAATGGAAATGGAAGGCGGGAATGAAGGAATCAAGCAGACTGACTGACTGACTGATTTATTTCAGCATGAGCTGTCCTTTTGAAAAGTGCACTCTGAATATTTTCAGAGGCAACTCTCGTTTTATATTTCTTTTCAAAGGCTGAAAGTAATCTGAAAAATCCAATGGTTTAGTATACTTTCAAACTGTCCTGACTTGACTGGACAGTTCCAATTATGGTAATTCTCTGCCATCCCACTTTTCAGCTGCTTTTAAAATGTCCCACCACCTGGTTCCTCTTCCCACTTTCCTCCTTTATCCTCAGTTGCTTCAACTGATGCAAGCTGAGTTTAACATGCAAATGAACTTTGCACTCAATTGGATCTGCTGGAGAGAAAGGGAAGGGGTCAAAATCCTGCTGTTTCCAGTAGGAACTGCCACAGTCACTCCTACTTGTATGTCCTTCCTCTTAAAAACTTTTGGTATCTTGGCCACACTAATGTTGCATAGCAATGTGTTCTGGTTTTCATGTTGAGGGATGGGTGGGCATGGAAGTATATAACTCTACCCTCTATCCAAACTGAGAGGTAACTTTCCCTGCTTTGCCAAGGAAACAAGCAGGATCCCATGTTTTGTTAAATGTTTGTAACAGATTTATATAGAAGAAGTCTGAGAGTGAAGAAACTGAGAGTCTGGGTGGTTTTTTCCCTTCTTTGGCCTGGTACTTAGAGGTGATGCATTAAATCAAACAGATTTACATAAGTGTAGACTCACTGGTCAACAACTGACTCAATGGGTCTGCTGTAGCTGAGACTAATTAACAGGACTCAGGTCTATTCCATCCTTAAAACAACCAAGAGTCTTCTTAAGAAGCCATTGAGACTAACAAGTTTAATTTGGTATATGTTTTTGTAGACTTCAGCCTATTTCAGGAGATGCATGATAAAACAGGTTCTGGCACAAGAAAGCTTATGCCAAACATTTTGGAATCTTCAAAGTGTCCTCTTGGTGATTTTGCAACAAGTATCATAGAGTCATAGAGCTGGTAGAGACTGCATGGGCTAACTAGTTCAATCCCCTGCCATGCAGGAAAAGCACAATCAAAGCACCCATGACAGATGGAAATCCAGCCTCGGTTTAAAAGCCTCCAAGTAAGGAGCTCCCATCAGACTCCAAGGCAGAGAGTTCCACTGCTGAACAGCTCTTTTGGTCAGGAAGTTCTTCCTAATGTTCAGGTGGAATCTCATTTCCTGTAATTTGAATCCAATCAATTAATTAAATAGTAAAGGCATTCCCCTGACATTAAGTCTAGTCGTGTCCAGCTCTGGGGAGTGGTGCTCATCTCCATTTCTAAGCTGAAGAGCTGGCGTTGTCTGTAGACACCTCCAAGGTCATGTGGCCAGCATGAATGCATGGAGTGCTGTTACCTTCCCGCTGTAGCGGTACCTATTGATCTACTCACATTTGCATGTTTTCAAACTGCTAGGTTGGCAAAAGCTGGGGCTGACAGTGGGAGCTCACATCGCTCCCTGGATTCAAACCTTCGATCTTTTGGTCAACAAGTTCAGCAGCTCAGTGGTTTAACCCACTGCGCCACTGAGGGCTCCAATTAATAATTTTCCTGGCTTTTCCTCAGATGGGACCAAAAGCATGACAACAGCATGAATTGAAAATGGCTACCTCACAATCTTTGAACTGGGATAAATGGCAGCATGAACTCTGATATTCCAGTTCAAATCAGATATTGTGGGGGTTTTTTTTGCTTTGATATTCTGTGTTATATGGCTGTGTGGAAGAGCCCTGATATGCTTGAAAAATGCTTGCATCTCCTTTGAATTGTGTGCCTTAGTTTTAAAGACATATTTATACAAGAAAGCTTACCCCCAGAATGCCTCATTCCCCCCAACACAAAAGGGATACCTGACAGCAAGGAACGAGGACTAGGTTGTTTGCTTGGAAAGACTGTAGAAGGCCAGTTTTGATCCCACCCTGGAGAGATATCATAAACATCTTGCTTGAATGGAAAGTCATCTCAGCACTTGGACAATTCCGGAGTAATTGGACAGCATTTAGGATGCTTTATTAGAGTGTAAAAGCACTGAGCTCAGGGGCCACATGTGACTCACACCACTGCTGTACTCCTAGGATCCTTGACTCATTTCAGTCGAGGATCCTTGCCAGAACAAATGTCTCAATGTCTCATGTTAGCCCTGAGGATGTCCTGCTTCTACCACCCTTAAGGTCTCCTTGCTGTTTCGAGCCACTCACCCTGTCCAGTCCCTTATATTGTTATGGGAAGAGGAGGGTGTTTGGGGAGACAACAGAAAATCCAGAGTTCATAGCAGCCACCTTGGTGAGTTTGAGAAATGTGTTCACATTACCTCTGAAAGCTTATGTGCTCTGTCGTAATTCTTGCTACACTGGAGCAGATGTGCAGCTAAATTGCAATCCTTTCTATAGAGTTCCTGCAAAAGAAAACAAAAGAAAACAAAAGAAAACAAGCAAACAAAAAAAAAGCCCACAAAACAAAACAGACAGAAAGACAGATAGAAGAAAGAAGATTGATTCAGAAGCTGGATTACTACAGCCAGAAAATCAAAGTATTATGTGTACGTTGTACGCTATCATTTTGTAGGAGAGTACAGAATATGCTCCCTGCTTTAGAGTCCTCTGAAGGATCAATTGGTAGAAAGAGACTGAGTCTGGGAACTAGGAATTAGGACAGCCTCTAGGAACCTACATAAGACTGTAACTGACCACTTGTTAGTGACATCCTCAAGCATAATTCCACTTTATTGCCAGAGTTTATACTTTTTGGTTACCGTGGTGTTCTGGTATTCCCTTCCTCCAAGTTGCCTGCTGATTTATAGTGGCCGCATGAATTCCATAGGGTTTTCATAGGTAAGGCCAATTCCTTCCTTTGAAATATAGCTCATAGCACTGGCATTCACTGATGATCTCCCATTGAAGTACTAAACAGGACTGACCTTATTTAGATTCCAAGATGTGGTGCCTTTTAGTTTTCAAAATGTGAATGAAAAACAAAACAATATATGTTTCCATGGGAAAATTGAAAGTAACACTGATTGAAGGTCATTTAAATACATAATTTTTCCATCATAGAAACTATGGGCAAACATGGTTTACAGTTTGTTTTCTTTTCTACATAATATGCCTGGTGCCCTTGAAGATTATGAATGGCAACACCTTCATAAACTGGGAATCTACAACAGTGATTCATGCACTGAAGGCAATCTAATATTTCTGAATTGGCTTGCATTATTTTTGTTTCTTGTTTATAAACATCTATTTAGATAGAACAACTCCCACCATCTATTTATGAAGTCACCAATAGAATTAGGAAAACAGTCCAAATACATCTGAGTCACTTATTCAAATTAGTATTAAGTTCAAGAAAGTGAATTAAGAACTTCATACAGCTAATAATAAAAATTGAAAGGATTTTTTTTCAGATGATTCAGTTGGCATACCCTCCAACCATCCTGATTTGGCAGAAACCATTTCAATTAATCCTTTGTTATCCCAATTTTCAGCTTCTTTTAAAATGACCCAGTTTCTTTCTCTTCCTCCACTATATTTTAATCATGCTGCTTGGGCTCGTCCCCATGTAAGCTGCCCCAAGTCCCTTTGGGGAGATGGAGATGGAGAAGGGGCACAAAAATAAAGTTGTTATTATTATTATTATTATTATTATTATTATTATTATTATTATTTCCTCTGTGTCATCACCATACTTCTGTTGCTGCCAACTGAGTTCAAAATGCAAAAGTAGTTCACATTCAAGGAATTCAGACGAGAGTACAGGCAAACCTAAGGCAGGTTAAAAATAAATTATTATTATTATTATTATTATTATTATTATTATTATTATTATTGGTTTTCCGATTTAGGAGAGTGTTATTAAAAGTAGAAGGGTAGTTACAGAGCAGGCATGGGCAAACTTTCTAACTTGGGGGCCGTGGGCCAGGATGGAGGGGGTTCTCCCCATGTCTCTTCCCTGCCCTTTTCTCCCCTTCTTTTCTTTCAGAGGCAGAAAGTCAAGGAAAAATGGGAAGCATTTGGATCCCAAAAGAGTTAGCCTTGGTCAGGATGAGATGTTGGATGGGAGAGAAAAAGTGCACCCATTAGATCCCATATTGCCTACTCCTGATATATAATCCTAGAATCCTAGAGCTGGAAGAGATCCACAAGGGCCATCCAGTCCAACCCCCTGCCATGCAGGAAGGCGGAACCAAAGCACTCCTGATAGCCTTTGTGGAAAATCTCCAGAGAAAGAGACTCCACCACACTCTCCAACAGCTCTTACTCTCAGGAAATTCTTCCTAATCTTTTCAGTCTAATCACTTTCCCTGCCATTTGAATCAATTTCTCCCTTGTGCCCTGGTCTCTAGAGCAACAGAAAGTCAGCCCCCCCCCCTCAATGAGACACCCTTTTAAATCTTGAAACATGGTTCTCATGTTCCCTCTCTACCTTTTCTCCCAGCTAAACATCCCCCAGGAGGAAAGGATGAAGGAAAAAGAGAAAGAAGGAAGGAAGGAAGGAAGGGAGGAAGAAAAGGATGGATGGAAGGAAGGAAATGGAGGGAGGGAGAAAAGACAAAAGGGAAGAAAGGAAAAAAAAGAGACAGAGCAGGAGGGAGGAATGAGGGAAGGAAGAAGGAAAGAGAGAAGGAAGGAAGGAAGGATAAGATGGTATGAGAGAGGAAGACCTAAGAAAAAGGCCCAAGGGGCTGCATCTGGACGCTGGGCCTGGATTTGCCCATATCTGTTATAGAGTGATACTTTAAGGGAATTGAAAAAAACTATAAATTAAAACCAACACGCAAAGAGTGTGAGAGTTACAGATTAGTTTTTATTGTTATAGGTGTAGGATGCGTTTAATCGGCGAATTGTGTGAGGTTGTAGTGGTTAGGATGATTGTTTTAAATCAGTGGTTCCCAACCGTTTTTGACCAGGGATCACTTGACCAGGGAACACTTTGACCAGAGACTACTTAAACAGGGATCACTTTCCAACATTAGTACCAAAAGGGTTATGAATCTGTTTTTGGTCAACATTTAGATTTGGTTTGGGGTACTGATTTATAAAATTGCACATTGCTGTAGTTTCTGATACAGAACATATGCCACGTTCAGCAACAGGGAAGAAGTGGCAGATGGCATGAAAGAAGTGGAAATAAATTTAAAGAAATAAATCAATAAAGAGGAAGGAGGCTCATGGACCAGATTTTTGTCCTTGCAGGCCACCGTTGGTCCGTGGCCCACAGGTTAAGAACCACTATTTTAGATTGAGTGGYGTTACTTGCTATAGGTTAATGTTTTATATTGAGAAAAACATGTTTGTTTTTCGGGGGGGGGGGGGGTATTGTCTTTTTGTTTGGTGTAATTTGTTTCTCTGTATATATCTTTCTTTGTATGGTTGTAAGTTTGTCTCTTTGAATAAAAAACACTTTTTGACAGCATGTGCTAAGGCAGTGCTTCTCAACCTGGGGTCCCGAGATGTTTTTGCCCTACAACTCCCAGAAATCCCAGCCAGTTTACCAGCTGTTAGGATTTCTGGGAGTTGAAGGCCAAAAACATCTGGGACCCAAGGTTGAAAACCACTGTGCTAAGGGGTGCTGCACTGTTTTACACCAGGGGTGTTAAACCCATTTTCACTGAGAGTCACACCAGCCTTATGGTTGTCTTCAAAGGGCTGGTTGTAATGCTAAGACTATATAAAGATGTTCAATGTTCTGGCATTGAAAGCCTTGTGTGACATATAAAAGATGTAGCGGGCCGGATTCAACCCAGGCCTTCTGTTTGACATGTGTGTTTTAGGTTTTATTGGCTTTTAATAGCTTTTTATTTATTTGCTATTAATTGTATTTTAATTTTAACCTGTTTAATTCTACTTTAATATTTACTTTTTAACATGTTTTAATCGTATTACTTTTTAAGTTATAAACTGCTTTGGACCCCAGTCTTACGTAAAAATGTGGAATAATAATAATAATAATAATAATAATAATAATAATAATAATAGGATCCTCTGCATTATTGGACACAGGATCCCTCCCCCCCTTAAAAAACATGTCCTCAGATGCACTTTTGATTCTCTCCTTGGAATTTTCCATAGCCTCTATAGACTCTGGAGAGTCCTGGGACCAACACGCTTGTCTCTAGAAGTCTAGAAAGCTTTTTTGAATAGTGGGGTACATGGAGGAACAGGGTCAGTGTTCAGAAGGAAAGAGAAGATGGGGAATATTCTTTTCTTAACTGGACCTATCTAAGGATTCAACCTTGTCATCTCCCAGCAAGTTTCCTGCTCTCCACTAGGGATGTAATTCTTCACTAAGTTTCTTCCTGGAGAAAACAATAATTGTAGCAATATTTTTTTTCCTACAAGAAGAAAATTCTTTGAAAAATACGCAGTTTTTGAAGCCTATTTACAATTCTGGACTTATTCTATACAAAATTCACACACAGTATTTTCTGCATAGAAATACTATTATATACATCCACAAGTGAATTGTACACCAAACAAGTCTCTAGTTACAGCATTTCTTGTGCAGGAAATGCAATTTCCATGAAGCAAATAATATTTTATATTGTATTCTTGAAGGCTTTCATGGCTGGAATCACTGGGTTGTTGTAGGTTTTTGCGGGTTATATGGCCATGTTCTAGAAGCATTTTCAGAGGCAGTGAGGATGCTTGCCATAGATGCAGGCGAAACGTCAAGAGAAAATGCCTCTAGAACATGGCCATATAACCCGGACAAAAACTACAACAACCCAATATTTTATATTTTTTTCTGTGCAAAGAAACCATGTGTGAATTTTGCATACAATAAGAATTGGTGAAAATTCTAATCAGTTCAGGATTTTTTTCCAGGGTTTTTCAACTCTCAGATTGTGTGTTTTTAATATCATTTATCAAATATTTTTCCATCCCTGCTCTCTACCCCACAGTGGAGAGTGGAATTTGACCCTGCCTTAAAGACTAACAAATGCATTAAGATATATGCCTTTAAGAATTATAATCCACTCAAAAATGTCTTCAAGGCATTGTAAGACTCTTACTGTTTTTGCGGCAGTGACGGTTTCTGAAAAATGGAAGTGAAGTTACCCTAGGATCTTAGCTAATGTGCCAAGGAGATGACAAACAGAAATCAAGAAAAGCTTCTAGGCAAATGCTAAACATGCTCCATCTGCCCCTCAAAGGACAGGTTGACACTGTTTACCACAACAAGTAGAGCTACTGGGAGTCAATCTTGAATAACAACAAAACTAATTATTTTGACTTGATATGCCTGTGGCAGATGTGCTCTTCTTGCTCAAATGCTGTTATTTATCATTGCTACCAACAATACCTTTAGGCGTGAACTATGCCTGTAATTAACACTTTGGTAATGCCTTCAAAATGTAACTTGGGGACAATTTAGCCTTGCAGCCTGTCTTTGGTTGTCACTAAAAAAGATTGCTGTACTTCCTGTATGGTCTTCAACATACATATCAGCAGGCCTTGGAGAAAATCCTTATTTGAACCACAACTCCATACTATCTCTCTGGGATTCTAGGAGTTGTAGCCTTGGGTCATCTAAAAAGTTTAGATTGGTGCATGTGGCTAGATCATAAAATATTTATTTATTTATTTATTTACTATATTTGTATTGTATACTGCTCTTCTCAGCCCGCAGGGGACTCAAGGCCATTGAATAAATAATGGAAAATTATATCAAATATGCACCAGGGAAAACATAACAAATTAAGTGCATTTTCTGATGTTGTAGGGTGTTGCCCATATGGTAGATTAGATTTATGAAAAAAGAAGGTAGTCGAAGAAGAAATCTAATACTGTAGTAATTAGAGATGGTCAAATTGACTAGGCTTATACAATCACCAGATTCTTCCAAATTTGAAGAAGAGCGACAGCCTTTTATTGACTATTTAAAAGAAGAAGATGAAAATACAGTAGAGTCTCGCTTATCCAACCTTCACTCATCCTACGTTCTATATCATCCAATGCAGTCTGCCTCTTGCCCGTATCCACAGCTGTTTCAATACATTGCGATGTTTTGGTGCTAAATTCATAAATACAGTAATTCCTACATAACATTACCGTGTATTGAACTGCTTTTTCTGTCAACTTGTTGCAAAACATAATGTTTTGGTGCTTAATTTGTAAAATCATCATGTAATTTGACATTTAATGGTCTTTTCCTTAATCTGTCTTTATAATCCAACATTTTCGCTTATCCAATGTTCTGCCAGCCCGTTTATGTTGGATAAGCGAGACTCTACTGTATTGGGTTTTCTATAGCACCATGGGAAAATTAGTAGTACAGGGATGTAGGAATAACAAGAAAAGAAAAAAAAATAGAGAAATCAGTGACAAGAATGACAGAATCCCCAATGGTATCCAAGGGATCCCGGAAAGTTAATCTACCAGAGAAAAAGAAGTTTTTATGACAAAAAAGAATAAGGTAGGAAGTGTTAGTTAGGGCTTTATACTTTCCACTTCTCAAAATTTCTATCTCATCTGTGTCAAAACACTCTATAGCAACTTTTCTATCCTGTTTTAGATTAGAAATGGGAAAAGCCGATATATACTTCTATCTATGTATAATTGTCTGTCCTGTTTGTGTATGAAATGGCATTGAACATTTGCTGCACATGTATGTTCTGTGATCTGCCCTGAGTCCCCTTTGGGGTGAGAAGGGCAGAATATAAATACTGTAAATAAATAAATAAATGTTCTTTTGCTATATTTCTCGACAAAAATGTAAGATGTTAAAAATGCCCCCATTCAATATCCACCTTTGTATCCCTCCCCATTCCTCAAATATTTGTAATGAAAATTATATATAAGAAAGAGAGGGTAGTTTATTGGACATTATGCTGAACTCTATTTTTAAACATTTCCTTTGAAGGAGGCCCTCCTAGTTTTCATGGCATCAGCATATTTTTGGAGCTGCAGCCTTCTTTCCATTTTTCAGATAATGATTCAATTATAATGAAAACAATTTGCTGTCAAAAGAATTTGTTATAAACATAGGATGCATACAGTAAAAACTGTGCTAGGAACTCGGTAGAATGAATGTTGCCTATATTCTTACAGAAGAACAAGATGAAGCATCTCAGAGTAGCCACTGGTGCACAGAAGTGGAACAGTTCAAAACTGAGCAATTAATAAAATGGAAGGGCACGGCAGCTACTGGCATTGCATTGTTTCAGATCCAGCAATCCATAATTTCATAGCTATATTTTCATACATGATCATGACAAATAGCCACTGTTGAAAGTACTTACATTATCTTCTGACAATTTATCAATTGTCACCTTGGCTTCTATCAAATGGTTATTGAGGGCTATTATTTCGTGGCTTAAAGCTCTTTTTTCTTCTTCGTAATGTTGACCCTGTGTACAAAAACAATTCAGTCAACATTTTTTACCCGTACAAAACATACTGCTGTGTTGTTTTCAAAGCCAAAGATAAATTGTGCGCAGTGCCTTTCTTTCCTTGCCTATATTTCTTTTCCTGCATGACGTCCCCGTTCTTACTAAAGAGCACATGGTGAAAACAGAAAGCCTGAAGTTCAAAAAATGACACATGGCTTGGAGAATTGTCCTCTATAGCTGCAACCTGAATCCAATGCTGGACATGTGAGACTGTAAAACATGTTTACGACATTTACTGACTTTAAATTAAACACACAGTCCTGAAGTTACGAACAAGGTTCTGTAGGTTCGTATAGGAAAAGGTTAACACACCTGTGGTGTTTGTTTTGCTGTCTGTGCCCATTCAGAAGATAATGCCTCTGTGATAATTGGATTTTGAAAAAATTGGCTTGTTGTGGAAACAAGGATTGGTGATAAAGCTTCAGTGGAGACATCTTTTCCCTACGATTATTCTTTCAGGACTGAATTTCCCTTCCAAAGGGTAGATTTCTTACACTTCCTGTTGTATCACCCCTGTTTTTAACTATGAGTAAGTTGGATGCTTGTAACTTGGGGGCTGCCTGTATTTGGTTTTCCTTCCTTATTCCAGAGGTTGGGTGGTCTGTGAAACTTTAGATGTGGATTATCTATATCAACAGGGAGTAGGTTCTGATGAACGCTACCATTTTATGTTTGTACTAGCTGTACCTGCCACGTGTTGCTGTGGCCAACCTTCCCTCCCTCTTTCTCTACTTCTCTCCCTTTTCTTCTCTCCTTCCTTCTTTTTTCCCTCTACTCTTCCTTCCCCCCTTTTCATTTTTTCTCTCTTTCTCCCTGTTCTTCCTTCTCTACTTATTCTTGGACTGCAACTCCCAGCAGTCATCCTGATCTACCTAACTACCTCTATCTAATCTATCTATCTGGAGGATTGCTGGGAGTTGCAGTCCAGGAATAGGAAATTGGAAATATGCAGGGATTGAGATGCTCTCAAAGAAATCCAAGGAGAAGAAATCTTGCATCTTGGAAGCAATGCACTTGGATCATCCTCCTCTCCTTAAGAGCCTGTTCTAGGGGATGCTGGGCGCTGTAGCCTGGAAGAGAGTGTGGATATGCGATTGTGTGTTTTGCTTGACATGAGAGTCATTTTTGCGCATGCGCTGTAGCATCCTTTTGCTTTTTTGGCTTTTTAAGTCCCTTCTGCTGTGTTTTTCAGTGCTTTACGTTCATATTTGCTGTGGAATCAAAACATGTATTTTGTATTCTGACTCATCCTAACAAATTTTCCAGAATTGCTTTTTTCAGATTTCTTCAAGCTGGGTTGAAGAAAAAAGAAAATGGCCAAGGGGTTCATGCAAAATGCAGCAAAACCAAGTTCCGACTCTTTGATATAGTCAAAGCTGAATAGCAAAAAGAAATGTATCTGCTGTGATATTCTTTTGCAAGCAGTACAACAAGTACAGCAATAAGTATTGACACCAACACCATTCACCTCTTTTCTTTGAAGAAAAAAAACTTCTCATAGCTGAATTCCTGCAGGTATCTTCAGTACACATAACTCAGAGTTATGTGTATACAATTTTTTCTTTGGGAGGGGGGAGCATGGAGGACACTGCACAAGGAACAATTCACTAGCTTCATCTAGCCTAACATCCAAATACATCCCGCCCAGGCATCTTTCAAGTCCTGAGATTACTGCCCTGGTTGGTTGTTTCCCAGGAAGGAAAGAGCCAACCAAGTAGCATAGATCTTGAGAAAAGGAATGTGGACACAAATTCAGATCTCCAGCAACCTGTGATGCCATCACCTCCAGAACCTGAAAGCTGCCTTCCCGGGGTTGGAGTATCATGGAGTTGCATGGATTCTGATGCAAAATTAACGCAAGAAACCATAAGAACTTTGTTACTATAGTAGACTCTCAATTAATTGCATGAGAGTTACTATTAAAAATAGGCCTAATACAGGCATACCCCCTCGATGGACTGTCACCTTGTCGTGGTGAGGGGGCTTGCGTGTTCCAATGAACCTGTAGGCACAACAACTGGAGTCGTGCACTCCCAGGAGTGGCCGCGGGGGAGGTTCCAGACCAAGCACAGTCCGAAGACCCAAAGACCTCAACGGCGGAGCAGGCGGAGGATAACATGGCACATGTTACAACGGCTGCGAAGGCGGAAGAAGGCTGCAACAGACTGAGAAGCCACGGTCATTGTGTTAAACTACATCACCAGTGGAACCTCACTCTGTGAAGTCTGTGTGTTGATCAGTTGTGCACTGACCTCCACACATTAAAAAAACCCACGCACAGGCGTCTTCCAAAGAAAATAAAAACCAAGCAACCAAAGTCCCATGGCGATCAGCGAGTGGCGACGGGGGCAGGACTGTGAAATCTGGAAGCCCCTAGTCACAGACTGGCACATGGGCGGTGGGTACGGACTCAGTCGTTCTACCTCAAGGTCCGAGGCAGTTGAGTAGTTCGGCAGCTGTATCCACGACTGAGCAGCCCTTTTGAGGACCCACTCTGCTCACCCCACATGGGGAGGGGGCTAGAAAAGGTGCCCTAAACATAGTCTGCCTCACTTATCCCTGACTGGACTGCCGCGTCCAGTGGGGTCACCACCCTGCGGCCAAAAAAGGAAAATGAACTTCGGTACGTGGAACGTACGGACTCTGATGGACAACAGTGGCAGTGAACGTCCCGAACGCAGAACTGCCATCATTGCAAGGGAGCTGGGACGCTTCAACATCGACATAGCAGCCCTTCAGGAGACCCGGAGAGCAGGAGAGGGACAGCTGAAGGAAGAAAAAGGAAGCTACACCTTCTTCTGGAAGGGACTGCCCGAAAAAGACCAAAGAATGCACGGAGTTGGCTTCGCCATCAGAAATGATCTGGTGAAACATCTGTCCGAAGCACCCACTGGCATCAACGAACGACTCTCAACCCTCCGAATCGATCTTGCCAAAAACCAACGGGCAACCATCATAAGTGCCTATGCACCAACACTAGATGCTGACGAAGACATCAAGGAGAAATTCTACTGTCAGCTGGACACCGTCCTATCGGGGATACCTAAGGAGGACAAAATCCTCCTCCTGGGGGACTTCAATGCAAGAGTTGGGCGAGACTTCGACCTGTGGCCAGGACCATCGGAAAAGACGGGGTTGGAAACAGCAACTCAAATGGCATCCTGCTTCTCACCAAATGTGCGGAGCACAACCTTGTCATCACCAACACGCTCTTCCGCCAGAAAAACAAGTTCAAGACATCATGGAAGCACCCCCGGTCAAAGCACTGGCACCTCTTAGACTATGTAATCACACGCGCCAGAGACCGCCGTGACGTGCTCCTCACAAGAGCCATGACAGGTGCTGACGACTGCTGGACTGACCACAGGCTAATTCGATCCTCGATGGCTCTCAAGATCGCTCCCAAGCGCAGACTCCAAGGAAGGAAGACAAGGCGCAAAATGAACACCCAAGCCCTTCAGGAGCCCTCCAGACGAGCCCATCTCCAAACAGCACTCAAGGACCATCTACCCACAGTACACCCCGAAAGTGTCGAGGAACATTGGAACAAACTGAAGACCTCCATCATCCAAGCCTGCGAAGAAACTATTGGATACCAAGCCAAGAAACATCAAGACTGGTTTGATGAAAATGACATTGAGATCCAACAGCTAATTGACAAGAAAAGGAAAGCCTTCCAAGCATGGCAGAGAGACATCAACTGTGCTGCTAAGAAAAAGATCTATGCCAGTACAAAAGCTGAGGTCCAAAGAAGGACAAGAGAACTCAAGAACATCTGGTGGACAAAGAAGGCTGAAGAAATCCAACACCTGGCAGATACCCATGATGCTCAGGGATTTTTCAAAGCCACAAAGGTCATCTATGGACCAAGAAACCATGGCATACAGCCTCTACGCTCATCAGATGGAACCAAACTCCTGAAGGACCAAAACTCAATTGCACTACGTTGGAAAGAACACTACCAAAGCCTCCTGAACCGCAGCTCCAATGTGGCCGAAGAGGTCCTCTCACAAATCCCGCAACAACAAACCAGGGACGAGCTTGCAGCACTGCCTAGTTTGGAAGAAGTCAGCAATGCCATCAGCCAACAGAAGAATAACAAAGCCAGTGGACCAGATGGGATCCCTGCTGAAATCTTTAAAGAGGGAGGACCTGAGCTGACACACCAACTCCACCAGCTCATAGAAAAAGTGTGGGTGACCGAGAAAATCCCAGCAGATTTCAAGGACGCCACCATCATCACCCTCTTCAAAAAAGGGGAAAGAACAGACTGCAGAAACTATCGAGGTATCTCCCTTCTAACCTCCGCTGGGAAAATCCTCGCAAGAATCCTTGCAAACCGCCTTCTGCCCCTCTCAGAAGACACCCTCCCAGAATCCCAGAATGGCTTCCGCCCCTCCAGAGGAACAGTGGACATGATCTTCACTGCAAGACAGCTCCAAGAAAAATGCAGAGAACAAAACCAACCTCTGTACATGGCATTCATCGACCTTGCAAAGGCATTCGACACAGTGAATCGCAGCGCTCTCTGGACCATCCTCCACAAAATCGGGTGCCCAAACAAATTTGTGAACATCCTGCGGCTCCTCCACGATGACATGATGGCAACAGTCTTGGACAGCAGTGGCTCCCAAAGTGACCCATTTAAGGTGGAATCAGGTGTCAAACAGGGATGTGTTATTGCCCCAACTCTATTCTCCATCTTCATCGCTATGATACTTCACCTTGTTGATGGGAAGCTTCCCACCGGAGTGGAAATCATCTATCGGACAGATGGCAAGCTATTCAACCTCAGCAGACTGAAAGCCAAAACCAAGGTTACAACAACATCTGTTATAGAACTCCAGTATGCTGATGACAATGTCGTCTGTGCGCATTCAGAAGAAGATCTACAAGCCACTCTAAACACCTTCGCAGAAGCATATGAGAAGCTCGGCCTGTCACTGAACATCGAGAAA